GCCCAAGTGTGTGACAGTAAATCATTTTACATAGGTAAAGATGGTATGAAAATCTTTATATATATAATTCTTCTGTGAGTGTGTATGTCACTGAACTTCTCTTAAACGACTGGACCGATTTTGATGAAATTTTTTGTTTTTGTTCAAGGGGATCTGAGAATGGTTTAGATTCACAATTTTGTCCGCTGGACAATGTTTTTTTAATTAATTTTTAATTTATTAGTAGTTGTTGATTTTGGAATGTTTTACATTGGATCCGACAGACGACGCTATATTAGACAGGACAACGTCTGTCGGGTCCGCTAGTCTATATATATAAAAATGAAACCCGTTTTCCGTTGTCACGACATAACATGAAAACGGCTTGACCGATTTGGCTGTTTTTTTTTTTGTAGTTTTCTAATACTCTGTACAAGGTTCTTACGGAAAAAAATATAAAGAAAATCTCTTAGAAAGATTGAAAAATATAACGAAACTAATGTCAACGTCATTCAATTTAAAACAAAAAATCTGTGGTAATCTGTGACACCACATCGATAACCGCGCTGACAAATGTCAACGTCATTCAATTTGAAACAAAAAATCTGTGGTAATCTGTGACAACACATCCATAACCGCGCTAACAATAATTTTATTAAGTTTTTGATAAAGTTCGTTTTGTTTTAAAGACTAAGAAGTTTTTTGTTTGCTAATAAGTGTTTGTTAATCACGGTAAGTTCACTTCACTTCATATCGATATTTGGTAAATTTTGGTGACTACACAATATTACAATTTTACATGGTTATACAGAAAATATATTTTCAGTTGGATTTTCGTTTTTAACAATGCCACCAACCAGACGTACAAACTTAGGCCGCAGAACTCGAAATACGGCAAGTCAAAGAAATATAAGAGCAAATCAAACTGATGAGCAAAAAGGTGAAGATGTTTTAATCCCACGCATCCCTATGATACCGAACGACATGCCATTCAGCTTTAAACGTTTACAGTTTCCAGTGCGGCTTGCATTTGCAATGTCAATAAATAAATCGCAAGGGCAGTCGCTAAGTGTATGTGGCATCAACCTAGAAAATCCATGTTTTTCACATGGCCAATTATATGTCGCCTGTTCCCGTGTCGGAAAACCATCAACATTATTTATTTACGCGCCAGAACATAAAACTAAAAATATAGTTTATCAAAAAGCATTAGAATAGAGAGAAGCAGTGAAGGGTATAGAGGCTATTAGTTGCTTTCTAGAGCGCGCGTGGTGTTGAGCTCAGTGTTTACTTCAAAATGCAAAGTTGTTCAATAGCGATTTGTAAAAATATGAGTGAAATTGAACCGTATGGAATAAACACTATTATGAAAATATATATGTTGTTTTTTATTTAATAAAAATTAGTAAAGTCCTCAGGTATGGCGAGACCAGGGAAATAAGGATTCATTTTTATATGGAGGATATTATAGATTCCAGTTCAAATTGAATAGGTACTCATACTTAAGATAGGTCAGCTATACAAAATAAAGTAGTGCATCAAAGCTACGCTAAGGCGGTACGAAGTTCGCCGGGTCAGCTAGTATTTATATAAAAGAGTGTAAACGTGTCCGTGATGCTAGCGTACACACGATCAATATACGGTTTTTCGTTATGCCCTTAATTAGTGTAAAAATAAAAAAAATAGTGCCTCTTTAATTTGAGAAATAAATACCATTTTTACCGAGTACGCTAGCATGACGTCAAGCCAGCGTACCCATGGCCGTCCCCAAGAACGGCATATATTAAAATTTAAGCAACGAAATTGACACCAAAAAATAGTTCGCAAATAGTGCCCTGGCTTTACAAAATTTCATAATCAATACTCTTAAAGGACCAAAGATATTGAACTAAAAAATCTTAGCTGGCGTCAACCTGGCGTACCCATAATAGTTCTCATAGAAAATGAGCTTTTCTCGTTATCTATGCTATACGTATAAATAGTGTGTCAAATAGTGACTGTATCAGTAAAAGTTTTTTTATTTACGCAGTATTTAATGGCATAACGAAAAACCGTATATTGATCGTGTGTACGCTAGCATCACGGACACGTGTAAGCCGACAGATTTATTGCTCCTGACATTATGGTGAGAAATTTTGGATACCGTCAATACTAATACATTTCCAGGAAGCTTCCAGGATTCTTTCAACTGCGTCACTTGAAATTTGCCAGGATGGGAATCAATTGAATGAATAATGTACTGAGTAACAGCGGCTGGATTAGCGAAGGCGGCGGCAACAAATGGAACAAGAGTCAAAGTCATTATTATACTCCCTGAATAATGGCAAAATTACATACACGTGTACACACATTATTTCTGCAATGTTTAGCTAACGACATATTTGGAAACATTCTTATGTCACCGTCAATTCGTATAATGCGACGAACTGTAAAGCGTTTAGACATTCCATGAAATATATTTTTTTTGAAAGAACCAGTGGTCCAAAGTCTTAGTTCAACAGCTTGGAAGGAGTCACCTGATGAAGTTGACCAAAACAAAGGGAGAAGTCGTAACGGAAGTTTATACCTATTATAGCCAGTTATACACGTCGCACTCGCCCCACCCTACGTCGGATGAAAGAGATTCAAGAGCCACATTAACCCGCCATGTGAAGAAGGACCTCCCCGACATCGACCTAGAGGAGATCTAGGCGGCTCTTGAGCAACTTAAAAATGGAAAAGCCCGGGGGAGGATGGAGTCACAACCGAGCTCCTGAAAGCTGCCGGCAAGCCAGTGCTGAAGGAGCTCCGGCGTATATTTAACTCTGTTCTCTTCTCTGGGAGAACACTAAGGGCGTGGCACTGGAGCTTGGTCGTCTTTCCCTTCAAGAAAGGCGACAAGACCTTACTGAGGAACTATCGACCAATTTCACTCCTGAGCCATGTCTATAAGTTGTTTTCAATAGTCATCTCGAATCGTCTTGCACTAAGACTTGACGAAGCTCAACCTGCAGAGCAGGCCGAGTTCCGTCGAGGTTATGGCACCATAGACCACATTCACACAACAGGTTAACCAGAAGACCAAAGAGTATAACCAGCCCCTGTGGCGTTTGTGGAATATGAGAAAGCTTTTGACTCCGTCGAGACCTGATCAGTTCTTGATGCCTCGCAGAGGTGCCAAGTAGATTGGCGATATATCAAGGTGCTGAGATGTCTGTATCCCGCTGCTAATATGTCCGTCGTACTCCAAAATGGCCAGACCGAGCCTGTCCTGCTGCGCCGTGGTGTAGGACAAGGGGATGTAACATCCCCGAAACTCTTCTCCCCTGCGCTGCAGGATATGTTCGGAACGCTCAACTGGATAAGACTTGGAATAAATATAAATAACGAATACATCTCACACCTTCGATTCGCGGACAACATCGTCATCCTGGCTGAAACCCTGCAAGACCTACAGGAGATGGTGAGCAGCCTAGCTGAATCTTCCAAACGCATCGGTCTCCGGATGGACTTGGATAATACCAAGGTCATATTCAACGAGCTCGTAGCTCCGGGACTGGTTGCTGTTAATGGAGTACCTCTCGAGGTTGTTCAGGAATATGTCTATCTAGGACAAACGCTCCGATTAGGCAGAAAAAACTTCGAGAGAGAAGCCAATAGAATTCTGTTGGGCTGGGGAGCATTTCGTAAGCTTCGTCAAGTCTTCTCGTCACCCATCCCTGAAAGTTTCAAGTCGAAAGTCTTCGACCAGTACGTCCTCTCAGTTATGACATACGGTGCTGAGACGTGGACACTAGACGAGTCTACCAGTTTAAAGTCGCCCAGAGAGCTTTGGAAAGGACTATGCTCGGAGTAACCCTGAAGGACCGCATCAGAAATGATGTAGTCCGACAGAGAACCAAAGTCACCATCATAGCCCACCGAATCAGCAAACTGAAGTGGCAGTGGGCTGGTCACATTAGCCGCAGAACTGACGGCCGTTGGAGTCGGAAAGTAAAGGTCTAAATCATGAACCTACTGTGCAAGTTCCTAATATTGCATAATAAAGATACTTAAAGGTAAAATAAACTTCCTTAAAATTTCGGACTGATAAGGTAAAACTTGATTCGAATCTGGATTTCATTATCGTGCCCTTTTCTAAACTTAAACTGCCAAGCTGTTAAGTGTTTTTGTTTTTAGAACGGAGAGTAACTATCTCACCATAATTTAAAAAATGTATGATGATTTACAATTACGAGAAAATACTTGATTATACTTTATTTTATTTGTTATAGTTTGATGATGACTATTTCTTAACGATTCCCGAGCCAAATACAGTTTTTGTATGTATGTCGATTTCAAATAAAAACTTTTGTTTTCTATTAAAGGCAATTGGTGTCTTTATTTATTGGTTTTCACATCCTGTAGAATTATGGCTTTGGGGGCATATATGATATTTTTGGAAGTTCTTAAAAGTATAACGGCACAATTGCATGGCTCTTCTTCTTCTTTGACTCTTATGCAGTAACTCCTGGAAACCAGAAGTGGATTTTTTCTATACTAGTTGCTAAATGTTAGTTTAGGCAATTAGATGTGTCATTATACTGCTAGGTGAGCGATATATGATTTAAGACATTTATTTATCAAAACAGAACACGAAATTCACTTACATGATAAAACAAAAGAATAATCCAGTACGTGTGTTATACGAGACGTACGAAATAAACAAAACAATTTAGTTGGACATAAGTACACACACTTATCACATATCACTATTGAAAAACTTTTTGTGTTTTTACTAAAACTTTGTTAATAATTTACAAATTGACTGACTCCACGCAAACAAGTCCGCGATAAACTCAAAAAATAATAATAATATTTTCACCATCACTTTTATAATCTTTCACGAAAGATTTTTAAGTGTTACAAAAGCCCTAAAACCATTAACTGTAGTCTAGACACAAGCGAAGCATGTATTGTGCGAGGCACTACTAGTTGATTGAACAATTAAAGTTGCAAAATATTTTAGTACTAATAATGCAGAACAAAATATCATTACCTACCATTTTTAGGCCGTGATTTTGATCGTACATATCATGATGATTGTCGATCTTCCCTCGCGCTAGAATCTTCATACGTGGCGCGTGTCTTCGACAACTGTAAACAAATAAATCGTTAACAACATTAACGCAGTCATGCTTGTGTTTGTAAACATCCTAAATCCAGATAGAAATTCAGTATGTTACGTCATTATTTAACAATGATTGTAATACGGCCTGCATTGACATAATATTATAGTGATAGATTGTAATAACTAATGCAAATTTGAAATTGTTATTATTTTGTATTGGTAAGGTAGTTTAGTAGCCTAAACTTATCAACCTTTTACTGCTGGGGCAGATACCTTTCCTATGGATGGAATATTTAGATTGGGCCATAATATATGCCAGCCCAGTATAGATTGAACGCTAACGACTGCAGAGGCAGCCGAAACCAACAGCTTAACGTACGTTCCGAAGTACGAAGGAGCTGGAGACATTAATAACTTATCACTTTTCATTTTACTTAAGCCGCATTCGTTTAGTTCATTTTGCCTAAAGGTTGACTGCCAGAGAATGCTTTTAGTGTTAGTTGCGCCTCTTCGTCATTTTTCTATTGGTTGCTTTAAAGATTAAATAAATAAATATTCAGTTTTTTGGTCACCCATCCAATGACCGGCCATTACGAAAGTTGCTTAACATCCCTGATCGCAGACAGAACGCGCTAACCACCTGCGCCATGGGGCTCCTAAATTTTATTACAACATTTTATATTAGCTAAGGTATTAAGAAATAATACAACCAAACAGTATGTTGGCATGAGACCAAAATCACAACATCAATACATGCCGATATACCTACCTATTTCGTGAAAAGTTTTAATTGAAACAAGAATACAGTAGCAATGTGATTTATACTGTGCGCACCTTGCAACTTCTATCCGTAGAGCGTTCCCGCAAATTTGGTGACGTAAGCAATGTCTCTTTCTCACCCTCCTTCCATTGCGGCAGGCGCCCCAACCGCTCCAAGGCGAATAAGATGGCACTTTGAAATAGGCACCTGCAAATAATAACACCGTTTTATCTCCCCAAGTATCTGGAGAAGTCAACAATCGAGTTACTTTTCATGTAACAGTATGAGTGTTCGAGCACAGCAAATAAATCTGCATACTGACTGAGCTTTGTTTCCGCATTTGTTTTACGTTGTCAGATCTTTTATATTTTGTGTTAAGCCCTTTGACTCTTAAACAAGATTAATAAATAATAAAAAAATGGGTGCGTGTACTTATGTAGGCGCGTGAGAAGTTATCCTTCTTTGGCATCGTTTAAAATTAGTTTTTAATTGCATGCAAATAATTAATTACAATAAATTAATAAAAAGTCTGGAAAAGGACACAGTCAATAAAGTTCAGTTTTAATTTGAAAAAATAAATAAATAATCAAAATATTCAATTAAAATCGCCACTGAATATAATTTATTAGAATATATGTGATTTGCACTTGTATGAAACTCAAACACTTATTCCGAATATACAAACTAGAAACATGTGGATAAATATTATAAACTAGCGGCCCGCCCTCGCTTCGCTTCGGTGTAGAGCTGAAGTGTAGACTACAGTTTTTGTTCTCAGGCTTGTATTATACACAATGACATTCATCTATGATTCTTCTTATACCTGCATGCAAAGTCTCAGCCCGATCGGTTTAAAATTGATAAAGTTTCATACAAACTTTCATTCCTTATTTTATCCCCTTGGGATTTTCTTTATATTTTTTTCCGTAAGAACCTTGTACAGAGTATTAGAAAACTACAAAAAAAACAGCCAAATCGGTCAAGCCGTTTTCATGTTATGTCGTGACAACGGAAAACGGGTTTCATTTTTATATATATAGATATGAAAACAGTCTCTGTTCTAAATTCAAAACTCGTAACTTTTCCCGATGTTTGTTGTACGTGTTTCCCGCGCTAGGACCGCAAGTGGCCGCGCATGCGTACTGTGCGGCGGGCGACGCGGTAATGGCAGCGCGGCACATGAAGTTGGTCGCTAAAGCGACCAACTTCATGGTGTTAATTTTTTGTGTTACAGATGCGCGCGCATCTTAAAATTTCACTCTCATAATTTTTTTATAACGCGCCTAAAGAAGTATAACTTCAAAAAACATATTTCTAACATTCACGCCAGTTAGCCTAGCCCCAAAGAAAGCACATACAAGTGTATATTTATCTGAAAATATACATAAACATCGAAGACTTAGGAAGAAATGCGCGTATACATCATATATTTGCCCCACCGAGATTCGAACCTAGGACCTCTGAGTAGACACATTGAAACCCGGCGTGCAACCACTCGGTCGAAAAATATTTTATGTTATTTTGGTTGATTTTTTAGTTGATAAATAAAATTCACACCAATGTATATTTATCTAATTTATAAGAATGTGATGGAACTTCATATCGGTACATTTTTTCAAGTTTTGATGTCATCTTTCAATTGACGACACTGTATGAAATAAAAAAGGTAGTAAAAAATAGCCCTTGCTGACTTTCTTGCCGGTTCTTCTCAGTACAAGGTCCCCCCCGCCGTAGATTTACGAACCGCTGGCATAGAGTTGACTTTCACAAGAACTTGTAACAGCCTAGACTGAATAAATGATTTTGAGTTTGATTTATTATTTATTATTCTCTTGAAATTATTATGCTAAATAATAAAGTATATTTAGGGTCATTAATCCATAATCGGGATAAAATATTCCCTGTACACGAGAGCAGTAAAAAATCGTGCTAATTTATTCACTCGTATTATTCAAACATTTATAGTTTCACATTCATAGCAAAACAATTTTGTTAGGTTTTTGACATTGTGCATTGGGTTTAGTATATACTTCTACCCATAGATAAATGATTGGTCTCGCTTCACTCGACGAGACCAATCATTTATCTATGCTTCTACCATTGTAGTTACAAAAAAAACGTTCTTCAGACTTGAGTAGTCACAAAGTACCTAATGGATATTTTTTTGGGGAAAACCACTTAAACTACAAGTGGTTGTCAAGTTGGTTATTTTTTTTTATATTCAACGCTTTTCGTGTGTTTCAGGGTTGTTCGCTAGCACAATATTTTTTGTGGAAAAACCGATTTTACCACTCCTTGCTGACTGGTATATACCTATATTAAAAGGCAATCGTTACTGACTGACTGATTTATCAAAGCACAGGTCAAACCATTGAATGGATTGCGATGAAATTTGGCACACAAATAGTTATTACGATGTAGGCATGCGTTACTAAAGTATTTTCGTTAACTTACCCCTTTAAGGGTTACGCCTTAACGGGGTAACCCTTTAAGGGGTGAGTTAACGGGTTAACAGGGTTAACGGGGGTTCAAAGTTTGTATGGAAAAGTAATATTTCCACGCAGACGAAGTCGCGAGCATCCACCAGTTTACTCAGAAATCTATGAGAGTAGCCTAAATGTGTACAAGTGATATTGTCAATTTAAAAAGGTCCATTCTTGTGCCTAACTTACTTATGTGCCCCATTTCAAAATCCACTCACTTTATTTAAATAGGTGCTCTATTTACCTGAGCCCTTGTTGTGTTTTCCATAGTGCTATCACGACCGTCCTTGCATCTAACGACAAACCTTCATCATACAAATGGAGGAGGACCTACCTTTATCAATATCGTCAGCTGAGTGTCTATAGAGTCGATGGACCTCGTTATTGAAATAAATGAGTTGATATCTCACCGGCCATCTGTATAATGCAGGTATTCTATACAATACCAAGGCAAACTGTAGAATGCCTGGGGCATCTAGGCAATGAATGGAATATTACACTCGAGTGCAAAGAATCCTGGTCACTAAAAGAATCCTAAAAATCTCGCAAACTAATAAAGCTAGTTTAATGAAATAAATTCTTATTAATAGAGAATTAAATACTCCTTCAATTAAGATATTAAAACTTCTTAATTATTATTAAGTTATAACATAAAATAATATAATTAGAAAAAGGGAGACTTTCGAAGATGGAACCACGAAATTACTGCTTTTGTTTGTAATCTGTCATTTATCATTCATAAAAACCATGTCGATAGTGTTCAATATTCAAGTGAGCTCAAAATCTCTCTCACAGGGGAATGAGAGAATATTCCCTAAAATCGTATAAGAAACTTGGTGTACAGCATGCCAAACCGGGTAAACGCAGTAATGGAAGCACGAGGAGGCAATACGAAGTATTTTCAGTTGTTCAAAAATGTCATGTTCCTATTTTAGTTTTCGAGATCAGCCAGTTTTTTTCTTTATGTATTTTTTTGTAAGTAAGATGTGATGTGGGTATACAATTTTTAAAATAAACAGATTTAGTCTGTATTTATCCTAACCATATCTAAACTAGCCTAACCATATGCATATTAATAGATATTAAATGACGGACGGTTTTTAATTTTCTCACCGAATGAATTACAGAGCAATAACCATTTGATCAACTCATAGTTGGTTAGGTTAAGTTAGTGTTGTGACCTAAACTTAACGCGAGCCGAGCGAGCAAAGCGAGCGTGCCCGTAAAACGCCAGCCACCTGCTATATAATAGATATAAAACAAGAAATGTTGACGCTCTTTATTCTTTTACACACATTGGCGACTGCGTTTTTGGCATTGTATAGAATACTAAGGCAAAGTATAAAAAGGAATAATATTTCACACATTGTTGTTTTTGGCATTCTATAAATTGCCTAAGTATTGTATAAAATTCCGAATTATATAGATTACCGGTAACAGATACACATATAAATCGCTCTGAATTTATAAAATCTTACAACATTTTATGTACCAAGGTATAAAAATATAATATTCCACAAGCTCCTGTTTTTAGGGTTCCATACCTCAAAAGGAAAAAAAACGGAACCCTTGTAGGATCACTTTGTTGAATGTCTATCCGTCTATCTGTCAAGACCCTTTATCTCGGGAATGCGTGGATGAAGCGAGTTGAAATTTAAACCATATACTCAGGTCTACGGTTCCTTGAAACTGTACAAAAATCAAACCAAATACTTGTATTGAAAGAAAATACACAGACTAAGTGAGCTTTAAATTTACTTTATAAATTAAAGTTAATTTAATAATAAAATTAACCTCTCCGAAGTCCTTGATCAGATCATGTAATTTTTTATATGAGACGACCATAAACAGTTTTGGAAATAATTTATCGAGAAATCGCGTAAGAAATAAAAAAACTCCTCTTTTTTGAACACAGTTGAAAAGTAAGAGCACTATTGTGAAGATGATTACTATATCCCCAAAACCACAATTTAAACTGTGGGTTTATGTAATCAGTACGGGATAAGGTGACAACAAAAAGTTTTGTCAGTCTCGAAGACTTGGTCAAACTTACTACAAAATATAAACTGCTAATCATCATTTACAAAATATGTATTTGCCCGATTCAACAGTTTGCCAGTTCGCTTGGGCGCACTCGACCGTAATACTATTTCACTATACTTACAAATATTTACTAAATAAGAAACGCATTTACAAAACGCTTATACGACCAATAGTTAGTATTGCTGCTACTGTACTAAAAATTATTTGCTTTACAACCAAATTATAGTGACTGTGTCGCAATCGCTACCGATACCTTTATCACTGGTTACTTTAATTTGCTACAGATTCAAAAGAATTTTACTGTGCCTCCAATTTTTATAACGAAAGTTTGACTTTGACTTGTGTTACGACTACAATATGTAATCGAAACTTCTGATGCTCATAAATTAATGCATAGTAGGCTATTTGACAGTATGAAAAATAAATACCAACTATCGGCATGTATATTACAACCTCAGAATTATTTAGCTTAAATATTGGGAGCGGTTTCACTATTCGGACAAGAAATTGGTTGATAATATTGCTAAAAATAATGAAATAGAAAAGTATTTTTAATTTATTGAAACGTGACCAAAAAAGACCTATTGGCGGAGCCTAAAATGACATCTCTTGCTTGTAAACAGGCTGTCGAAGTGACATTACTTTGTACTGTTTATCAGAGCCGTGCAACGTCACCTGCCTGTTAAACGCCATATTTTCTAGAGAAAAGTTTCCGCGTCATACTAGAAATCATAAATTTTATTTACGTTTTTTTTTAAATGATATGCGCAACGGCATTATAAATATCCACTTTACATGGAGACACAATCACACTAATAAAATAAAGTTTGTGAGTATATGAGTGTGTATGTTTGTTACTTTATCACGTCTAAACAGCTGGAGCGTTTTAATAAAATTTGGTGCGAAGTTAGCTGACACCTTGAATTAACACATAGGCTACGTTTTACTGCGGGAAAATATCCCTAATAAACTGCGGGAAACACCGCGGGCACAGCTAGTACAATAATAAATAGCGCATGAACGTTTCAAAAACTTGACAAATAGCCTATTAACAATTGACAAACATAAAAAAGTATACCTACATACACAACGAAATTAGAACCTCTTTTTTTTATTGGTAATGGGCTAGAAATATTATAGAGGAAGGTCCCAAGATCGCAAGACCTTACTTATTTTCTCATGGACAAAATATGGATAATCGAATAGTATTAGTGTGTACAATGAACTTAAACATACTCGCTAACTTGTGTTGTGCGCCAATTTTCAGGTATCAGGAGGCACAGGCACGTAAAGATTTTACTCCCTTTACTTACACTGATTCATACGTATGTTGTAGAGAATATTGTAAACAATTTGAAATTAATACTGCCAGACACATTCTGTTAGCAGTGTTTATTGCCAGACACTTTTAATGTCCACTGTAAGTAAAGTGAGTAAAATTTTTACGTGCCTATACACCTGATACCTGAAAATTGGCCCACAGCACATGTTAGCAAGTATGTATACGCTCGTTGTACACATGAATACTATTCATATATCCATATTTTCTCCATGAGAAAATAACTAAGGTCTTGCGGTCTTTGGAGCTTGTACTATTTATTACCCATAAGGTAGTTTCACGCCCCATAACACGCTGTCGCCATATCCATTACGATGTTAAATTTATTAACGGTGCGTATAGTATTTCAAAAAAATATAAGTGGGATAAGCTCTATCAATCTGGGGTTTTTAAAGGAGGCGTGAAGAAGCATTTCTGCAGGCCGGCAAGATGAAGATGGTTGGTGTGGCAGTATATAACTGCTGCGACAGTGATTTTCGCGTGTGGACTTTACCACTACTTAAAATCAGGTGAAGTAGAGTCTTTTGCCTACACTAAACATCAATCATCAATCATAATCTCTCAATATCATAATCTTTCTGTAACTTTTATATGAAAAATTAATTATTATTAATACAATCAGCAAAGTAACAGTTAAGTACATATTTCATTCAAAAATAAATAAGCTATTCGATTAAATATAATATTATTATTGTTATTTTAAAAACTAAAAAGATATTGTTATAAATGCTGATTATTAAGTAGAATATGAAAGGTAGTTGTCATTTAAGCATATGTGTTTAAAAATATACATATCAACGTGTAAAAATTAATCGAAACCACCCTTTACTTTGATTCGCCCGCAACATATTACTAAAATATTGTGAAAAAAGATAATTTCTGTAGTATTTGATAATTATGAAAAATTAATTAAAGTTAACGGCGGCGTTGCGTAATTGATTCCTAGATACTTTTGATAAGTGTAAATTTATGTACATATATTTGTATCTGATTAATACTGAAACATTTTTATCTCACCTTTTTTATATTCTCCAGTAATGACCAAATCGTGTTTGTTATTTGCAAACTCTATCTGAAATGAAAATCGAAATTTGTTACTTATATACTTATACCTACCTAAGTTGTTTAGTTAAGAAAATAAGAAGTTTCAATGTGAACAGTACGGCTTAGTTCTCTTCTATTTACTCGCGTCGTATTAAATGAACGCGAAATCTTTGACTTTCCACGTATTTTCTTTGGGAAGTCGCGGAGATAAATCGCATGAAGTCAGATTGTTTTGAAACAGTTTGTCCTTCCCTACTCCCTTGTAAAACAGATGAGCGCAGCACTTTTACACGCTTCGCTTGTTGCTTATTTTCGGTAAAATGTGAACCGTGAACGTCGCCTAGTAAAGCATACGGCTATACAACACTCATAATTTATTTATGTTGGGCCAAAAATCATACACGCTTTGCGCAAAAAGATTTGTATCGCAGATTTTAACCATCAAATAACAATTATATCCTTTATTTCTGTTAAATACTTAAGTACTCAAGCTTTAGAATTTGCTAGCATCGATAGCAGAAGTTTATCCGCTATAAATAGTAACTCAGTGTAATAAACTTACATAACGGATGATTGAGTATTATTACCGTGTTCAAAATAAACTAACCTTGAACCTGCCTATTGCTATCGGATAATACTTTAATTCACGTATCAGTATTGTTTGGTAACGATCCGACATAACAATGAATATAAACTAGGTCAACAGCACACAAAAACTAATAGTTGCATGTAGCGATTGAAGACATTGAATGGAAGACATATTTAATTTTGGCCGGATGCCAAAGTTTTTGTGTGCGAAGTGCATTGTGGATTGCAATCGAATACCGATGCTTCAGTGCATTTCTATTTTCCAAAGAATCAATAGACTTTAACATTAGTCCAGCACTTGAAAAGGTAGGAACATTCAGATAGTTTTCCATTGTAAAAATACTTACGTGTTGTGAATGAACCTTTTCAATGGCTATTATATGAAATAGGAGTAAAGGACATAGCCACTTCATATTCTTCTAGCCTGGATGCTATGACTCCATATGAACAGGGCATCTGCAAAGATGAATAAATATATCACATCAAAAATATATGACGAATCATAGAACGATGACAAAAAAAGAGAAAACCTGTCGCTTGTTCCATAAATAATAATGTATGTAATTATTCAGTGAGAGGTAGGGCGCTGCGGATTCGCCGCTCGATGCGGATGCGGATTCGATTTTCCGCTCGAATTGGAGCGCCCGTCTGAGAAAGAAACGCCCAGTTTCTTGCAAAAGACCACAGTGAAATAATACTACCTTTTGGTGGTGTTGTGTTTCTGTCGGTGATAGTAATATTTTTGGTATCGCAAGCATCTCAAGGCGCTCACCATAGTGGAGGCCACATGCTCGATTTACACATAAAAAATATAAAAATCAATAAGTCGATATTTTAACACGGACATATTTTAGAATATAGTGACTTGACATAGAAGAGCGGAAATCTTGTGAAACGACAAGCTTTCCGCCCACAGCTACTGTTAAAAAGTTGCGCTGATATTTTGACTAAGCTATTTCAATTTAAGTTTAGACTTTTTTATAAATTGAGTACAAGTTTAGTAGTTTACTATTTCATTATTTATTTCATCATCATGATCAACCTATTAGTGTCCCCACTGCTGGGGCATAGGCCTTCCCTATGGATGGAATAGGGAGATTGGGCCATGCCCCACGTTAACGTGCCTTCCGAAGCACGGACAAACTCGAGATTGAAGATTTTTGGTCACCCATCCAATGACCGACATCTGCGAAAGTTGCTTAACTTAACGATCGCAACCGAATGCGCTAACCACCTGCGCTATCGAGCTCCTCATTATTTATTTAATCTACATTAATTTTGTCTGCGAACACTAAATAATTGATTTTGACGTGTATACTCTCATTTTCCTGTGTCATTTTGTTGCTGGCTTTTCTCAATATGTATTAATGATGTCGTTTGACATGCAGAGACACAGAGGGATTCGTAACAAACTTTCCTGCATCAAAATATACTATATAGCAATAAATTATGATGTAAAATTAACTAACTTTGAGCGAACAACTGTATGAATATTCTAATGGAGCACAACCACCTGCACCTGGCAACTCAACTAAACGTAAACTTTTATAAAGTTAACATTCATCATTCAATGAAAATCATCCCTGTGCACAGTATTCACAAAACCAAGTAGCCGAAGAGCTTAGAAAAGTCCATGTCTTTATTATTTATAAGTCATATCATAAGTCTCTTTAAGTTGTGAACCTATTCTTAAATCGAATGCGAATGCATCCCTTCAAATGCTCGTTTTTGTTTTTTATATTAGTAGTCGAGATATAATCGAGTGATTAATTAACTACGAATTGTTAGTACTTCGTACGTCACTTTACCCAATATGAACAACATTGTAACTCCATGTGACATGGTTTTCCGGAGGGCCTGTTTGTTTTTTTTTTAAACTTTATTTTTTACTAGCAGGTGTTGCTTTAAGTTATTTTATAAAATTTTTGGTGTCATATACTTATTTCGATTACTCTTTCTAATGATCTGAATGTCATTTTGAGAAAACAACTGCAAGTACGATTTTTGCAATGTTACAATGTTCAGGTTTTAAGTATTTTTATATGAAAAACATTGTAACTATCATTACAATGGGGTTGTGTAAACATTTATAAGTTTTTTCTGCGCTTATAATTGTAACTTATTTTACAATCACGAAATTTTACTGACAAAATTAAAATCTTTATTGAATAATGTCGTAAGCAATAATTATTAGAATGTGTATCAATGTTACATTGGGTTGAAAAAACGTGGTAAGTATTAAAAATCACTGCGTAATAATTTTGATGCACTTCACAGGCCACCAGCACAGTAAAAATAGTAAACTGTACTTCCAGGCCAGGCCCAAGAGATACTTATTTTTTTAATTTTCAATTAAAATTAAGTTATTTGGTTTCACAAAAATATTTGATATTTAGAACAATTTTTGTGAATTTACTTGCTCGTTGCTCCAGCTACTTGCACCATGTAGCACCCTTACACAATGCGATGAAGCGTCAGCAGTCAGTACTGAACCTACTTAGGACTATGATAATACTAAAAATTCAAAATAGAAATCGTGAAATAAAAACAAATGAATAAACGTGGTTTCATCGGAGCGATGTGGTCCTTGCGTGTGAACAGCACCAACGCGCGGTGCAGACTAAATTCCAGCTTGGGTAACGCACGTTTAAGTTTTAAAATGTAATAGCTACTTGAATTAAAAATATGAAACTTATAAATTCACTTAGTGTCATGAAAATCTATATAGAAAAAAAAAAGGAAAAGACAATTACCTACATAATTTAAGAGATAATAGCAATAAAAGATTTTTTGAGTATTTAATCAATGATTTTTTTTGTGTGGTAATAGTTGTAGTTAGAATTAAAAAATTGTAAATTCCCGTTTTGAACGATGCATCATTAACATACATTAATAATAATTACAAAGCTTCATCATTTATATTTTCTGTGATAACGGCTTCAAATCTAAAGGTAGCACATTTTGGAAGTTGCACTCATGGTATTCCCTTAATTGTAACCGGGTACAATATTTACGAAACAAAGTAATTGCAGAGGATTTACTCGTGATCTTGGGGGTGTTTACGATGCATACGTTATCACCAGAACAATAGGCAAGACCTTTATGGCAAACTTACATTTTGTATTAAGCTACAGTGTAATTGCATTGTGAATTGTCATTGCAGTTTATGGAAATGTAGATCGCGAATAGGTTGCAACTAATTTGTACAGAACCTACTTTTCTTAAATGGTCATAAAGGTCAGGGTGTAGTGCGCTAACCGTTTTATGTCTGAGAACAATGGATAACTTCAAATGTAAATTACTTAATCGCAACTTACCTTTGTACCAATTCTTAAAGCAGAATAAATTATGAACTAGATAACATAAATAACGTTGCTCTGGGGACACACTGCAAAATTTTAGTCCTTCATAATCTTATTATTTGTACTAGGTGAAACCACTGATGGCTTTGTTTTGAATCGCAATGATGTAGGTTTTATAAATACGTAAAAACTTTCACTTAAAAAGCAAAGTGAGGGGAGTTGTCATGTAAAAAGGCAAAAATTACTTTACTCCACTCCACGCAGTTATTTTCTTGTATCAATGAAAAACCGGCACGTAATAAGCTTACAGGGGGCGTACAAAACATCTTTTGATTGTGCTTCGTTTGATCGCATAGCGTAGCTGTCAGTTCATGTTTCTTCACCTGTCCCTAAACCCCGCACTAAATTTGTTGTCTCTACGTTGAATTCAGTAAGCATGCCATAATACTAAATGACAGGATCCATTTTTATGCCTCGTTGAAATTGTAGCGCATCCATCGGAAAAACTATTTTTGATACTCAACTGTTTTCTGAGGATAAATTATGCCTTAGGCCGCTTTGTTTCATCGATAGTTAAACGATATTGCTCGTTCCCCATACATTGGATGCCCCAGAACGCACAGCAATGAGAAAATGCTAGTTGTGTTCGGAATCATTCATAAACTCTCATTAAGCATTTGTTGAAATACGGACAACTTGCGGAACCCTGGCCTACTACAGAATGTATAAGATTTTGAGGTTATAATTATTATATTTAATCGTAAACGATGTACACTTTACATTTTCAGAATAGATTTATTGTTTACCTCTATGTAAGCACTTAAATAATATGAATTAAATAAACATATACATATAATTAAAAACAATTAATAATAAAAAAAAATGGGTGCGTGTACTTATGTAGGCGCGTGAGAAGTTATCCTTCTTTGGCATCGTTTAAAATTAGTTTTTAATTGCATGCAAATAATTAATTACAATAAATTAATAAAAAGTCTGGAAAAGGACACAGTCAATAAAGTTCAGTTTTAATTTGTAAAAATAAATAAATAATCAAAATATTCAATTAAAATCGCTACTGAATATAATTTATTAGAACATATGTGATTTGCACTTGTATGAAACTCAAACACGTATTCCGAATATACAAACTAGAAACATGTGGATAAATATTATAAATATGAATACCTATAACTGTTACTTTATTACAAAAAATAAAGATGTGGTTTTTGGTTCTACTACTCCAATGGTCAAGAGATGGCGCTGTAGTCTCCTGAATCGCGCTTTGGTTCCGTTGTTCCAGATTAATAAATACTTTTGATATTATAAATATGAATACCTATAACTGTTACTTTATTACAAAAAATTACTTTATTACATGCTGTTACAATTTTGTGTTACAGTGATGCTCGCATCTTAAAATTTCACTCTCATCATTTTTTCATAACGCGCCTAAAGAAGTATAACTTCAATAATAAATGCTTATATTCATATTTATTTATGAGTGTTGGCAGTTGCTACCTATGATACCTATACCTACCTGTGTAATAATAGATTTATTTTCTAATAAAATGTTCAAAGGCTTTCCATTTACCTGTTTCTATATTTTATTATTGGTAATTAGGTATGTGGGTAACCGGTTATCATTATGATTTTCATAAAAATAAACAGATATTGTATGGGATGGGAGTATAAACTACCTTTACATAATTTCAGAAATTATCTATCCATAAATATAATGTAAATACTAGTGATAAGTATTATTAGTATTATTAGTATTATTAACGAAGGAGGGTAGGTACGTTGTACTATTCTTATGTTGATAAATATCTTTTTTTTTAACCCTAGACTCCAAACTGAACTGGGGATCCCACATAGACAAAACTACAACGAAGACTAACATCATTTTCTGGCAATGTCGCAAAATGATTAGCAAAACTTGGGGACTATCACCGCTCATTGTTAAGTGGCTATACACGATCATAATTAGGCCCATCATCAGCTATGCAGCAGTAGTATGGTGGACCAAGACAATCCAGGTAACGACAATTAATAAGTTAAGACGTCTCCAGAGGCGGGCATGCTGTGCAATCACCGGCTGCATGAAAACCACTCCCACATCAGCACTGGAGACAATACTTAACGTGAGACCACTCC